GACACAGACAATAAGACACCTCAAAATGTGAAACATCTCATAGAACTGGATTACGAGCAAAACCTTCAGTTAATTGATGTGTGCGGCTACTTTTGAAGTTCTATCACTTCACCATTTCACTTCGTCATCTTCTAAAAGTGATATTGACACATTCAGTTTTTCATACTCTATTCAAATATGTTCTTGAAGAAAACCAAAAGTGTGTTCTCTTGGGATGAAATTACAATTTAATAGTGAAGAGTCATATTTTCCAGATCCTTTTTTTTCACAGCTTTTCCATACTGTACGTGTTTCTATATGTTTTACTGGGACAATTAATATTCCATTAGTTACAGAACACTCGATTACTTATTTTGCATATTTTTTAAGTATTATAAATCCTATGTAGACTGATTGTAAAAGATCATAAAACCTCTTACAGTAACAGTTATTAATGTTGAAAAACAGTAAAGAAGATGAGGTCACTTCTATCAGCACGTCTTTATTTTTCAGAATTGAACCACGTGGTGATAATAAGTCAATCATCGACTACAAGGCAGGCGTACTTATTCCTATTTGTTTGTCATCAACATTTTTCACACATGTACTCCACACTAGCCTTCGGAAACCTAGAAAATTCTTTTCATTTATATTTAATTAAACACATGCAGTAATATAGACTTCATGGTACTGATTATGAATATCTCCTCAGTTTTAATCTGAACTTATTTAACAAGTAAGGAAACGAACCATGAAATTTTTCCAGCGTAGACAAAAAAGAAGATTCTCTCTGTTTAGTTTTTAAAATCATTTTTGCACCAATGCAGTACTCTGAATCTTTGAAAAATTATCTAATATAGGTAATCAAGTATCTTCTATCTAATGAAATACTGATTATGGTAGTTAAACATATAGGAGAACGCACAGTATGTGAGAACTGTAAAAAGACGATTTGAAAAATTGGATTTTTCACGGCTCAGTTATAATTTGACGCCAAAAGAATAGGTTTTCGTTCGTCTTCAAGGCGTTTTTTTCAATAGAGCACGAAAAAATGGGTATGCTAATATCCATTTTAGGGAAGAAGCAGGGAAAATGATGAAGCAATAGAACTTCAAAAGGAGCAGCACACTACAATTGCTCTAGAGTTTTCGCTCATAATCTAGTTTTATGAGCTATTTCATATATTGAAATGTCTTAATATCTGTATCGTGAGGTAGACAATACTCAAATACCCATTTGAAAGCTTTTTTCAAACGTTTAGAACATAAAGCCAGTAGTTGGCCAAAAGTAAAGAACAGCATGCTTATTCGTCTAGTGAATAATTTCTTGAAAATTTGCTCTCTTCATTCATCGATATAGTTTAGACAAAAATTAACATGATATTCGCAATTAGCGCTATCGATTCTATATCACTATATGTATTTCACTCAAAAGTGAAACAAAAACTTGTTCAGAGAATCTATGGGGAATGTAGGTGCGAAAAACTTCGATATCAAGCCAAGGTAAATAACTATGCCTATGTTGTAATCCATAAGTATTTGTGCTTGGCATAAGCTTCTTTTTGAAAATTATTTTGGAAAGAAAAATGATCTTATTGACCCTCGTCATTCATATTATAAGATGAAACTTGAAACGAAGTTTTTAAATAATATATCAACAAAAATTGGGTCAAAATAAATGTTAATTTGTAGAGTTCAATTCGTTTCATTGTGGAATGTTGCTCTACTTTCATCACGAAAAAATACGGAAAATAGTTATGTTACGTAGAATTTCAGTGAATAATACCTAGACTTTTGATTAATATAACATCGTCAACGACGTACTTTCGCTCAATGATTTTATATCTTCATGAATATGCAAGAAAATATTTGGAATCTTGTACTAAACAAATTGTTTTTCATTCATATAATCTAGTATTTTGGCAATCTCCATCCTGCAATTCACTTACCTCATTTATGTTTCCATCGTATCGACAAACTTTAAAATATCAAGATCTGCTATTTCTCATCTAGTTAACAAAAAAAAAATGTATTGAATCAATTAATTATGCATTAGGTTGTTCTTGATGTCACTCAACTATTTATTATCAATTCCGATTCGATGAATCTATTGTTTTTATCATAGAAAACTATTCTTCTCTGAAAAGAATTATAAATTAGTACCATTACATAAGAAAGCTTGTGCTGTTCATTTTCTCATTTCATTAGATATTTATCTCAATGGACTTTCGATAAAGAATGAACCTCTCAAAAATTTACCGATAAGTTTATTAGTTTTCATAACCCAGACCAGACTTATGGTTTATATCAAACGGTACATTATTCGATTCTATGGAAATATTTTGTTAAAAATGATAACAAATTTTTTAAATAAATTGATCATCCATATTTAATGAATAAATCTCAGTCATCAACAGTTAATAGTCTGAAATGTTTAATGTTTCCATGAACAATCTAAAATATAGGTGAGCATCATCTAAAGTAACTGTAATCGACAAATTATAGTATACAGCTTATATCAAATAAAAACGAGCGTTTGAGACTTCATTTTTAGAACTACCATTGCAACTTAGGTCCATAGATAATAACATAACAGAACCAAAAAGATTCTATGTTGTTCGAGCCGTATGTAGTGATTTGAAAACTTCATAATGAATACTATTTTTTTTTTGTTGACTTTATTGTGATGTAATATATGTACCTCAGTTACACTGGCAGTTCTACAAGCGAAGTCACGAACCATGGCATTAATTTGATATAAGCTATATATTACAATTTTGTCAATTCCAATTACTCTAGATGCTCATTTTATACCGCACAATGTTCATTGAATCATTAAACATTTCAGACCATTAACTGTTGATGATTAAGAGTTACTCATTAAATATGAATGCATGATCAATTTATTTTAACAATTTATTATAATTTTAAAAAAATAATTCAATTCACTATGTGTCAATACAAAACCTATAATCTTTTATACAGATTTGTAGAGAATCGGATGGTACACATCTTGATATAAACCATAAGTCAGAGCAATCAAAGCTAACTAAGTAGTCGACAAAAAAAAACTGTAAGAGGTTCATTATTTATAGGACATCCGTTACATCAGACTCTATTTTCTTTTAATAATGTTGTTGTTTTTTTTTCGAACTCGTACTAATACAATAATGTCTAACTCTAACGCAAATAACATTATAATAGATAATTATTAAATATAAATCGTGATTGATTATCGAGAATCATTATTATTCATAATATGTCAACTAATGAGACATGGTAATCATGTAATAGAAATATAATTGATGCATTTCATCTTAGTGCTTCTGTAAAAGAAATTATCTCTTTACAAAATCAATTATGTTGAGTTTTTTTTTTATATATTTCAAATGATAAATTCAAAGTTAGTTCGTAAGAAAATGAACAATAGATGATTTATCCATCGAATTTTGTTTCTTCAATTACTATTAATAGAAATAATTAATATCAAAAACAATTGTCAGGTAAATAAAATAGTTTAAAAGTTTGTTTAAGTACAAATTATGAAGATATATTGTAATAAGTATTTGTATTAGAACTTATTTTAAAAATAAACTATGATTCGAGATAAATTTCAAATGTATTAGATCAATGTCTGATGACAATAGTTGTCAATCATTAACATATTTCTTTTCTTTTCTAAATTCAAAATATATTATTCGGATATTTAAGTTTAAAAGTGATCGTTTTTTTAAATATCCGAAACTAACTTTGGAAATGTTTATTGTTACTCCTGCATAACTTTTTTCAACGAAACGATTTTCATAGATACATCTTCGATGTATTCATACGTTTCATATGCTTGTCATATCTTATAATGATCAAGATTGCATCATTGTTCTAAGAAAAAGTCTAGTATAGAATAGGCGATATAATTAATTATATGAGTTTATTTTTTTTTACTTGTCAGTTCATTTTTACATATGTACCTCGTTAAGCCAACAGACTCTCGGATCGAAGGAAACACTTCTATTGTAAATGAACAAATCATGTTTATGATCGGAACTAACCATTCTACATATTTCTTTTGTTTCATAAACTTTATTGAATATACATTCTATCGATCTAACAAAGAGTAAGGTTTTTCTTAGAAATATTGTCTTATATTCTCTTTCATACTAAATTATTGAATAATTGATTTGTTTAGTTATAAATGAAATCATCATAGTATTATTGATAAATTTCAGATAATAAAATATCAAATGAGAAAAGAAAAGAAAGTTCTATTCATAAAATCTGAAATATAGACATAAAACAATTCATAGTCACAACTGTATTACATATTGTTCTTTTTGTTAAACTTATGTGATTTTTATAATTATGTTAAATATCATTGTGTTGTTCTTGAAACAATTGTTCATGATTATTAAGCTTATGTTCGAATACAACACAGCATACATTTTTCTCTACTAACAAAGTTAAGTATCTATGTTCTAAAACGTCGTTTAGTGTACTTTATAAAAAACGAATAAAAAGAAATAATTAAACTTGATCGTGTACAATAAGCATTCATAGTTACATGCTTCTATCGTTACTATGATGAGAATGCAAATATTTGAAAAGATAGAGGAAATCCGTAAAATTGACGGCTTTTCTTTTTTTTTACATTTAATAAACATCTATGACCTCATTGACGATAATAAATTATTTGATTTATTCTCGTGCATAAGTGAATATAGATTGTGTCTCTAGATCATATTCTATTGAAATCTATGAACGATTCGTTAACTTTATTTTTCGCATTATATTATTTCTTTTTTTTGTATCTTAATTGACATCATCATGTAAAAAGGCTCTAATAAAAAGTTTGAGAATTCTAAACATTAAATACAAGATTTAGATTTTTGTTGCATATCATACTATTTTTTTTCATTTTTATTATTATTTATTTTACACAATACAAGCACACATAAAATAAACTTTAACATTTCTCGAAAGAAAACTGTCCACAAAACATATTTGTTTTGGTTTTTTTAATGTTGATTACATTAAATCGATTTTTTCTACTTTGATATCAACCATGTCACCATAACCTTTAGTAAGCACAGGTACATTGGAACTGGTAATAAAACGTGTTTTACCATCAGCTACAATTCGTACACGTATTGAATAATTCGATGTTTTTTCTATATCTTTTTCATCATATTCAAGTGTAAATGCTATGGGAAATGTTCTAATTTGGTTTTCAAGAATTAATTTTGCAATAGTATGAAACTTACGAACATACGAACCATCTTGTGAAGCAATATCTATATGTAGAAATTTAATAATAATAATATAGAATTTAAAAATTCGTTTTCTTTTTTATGATTTTACTTACCAGTTAATGTCATATCATCGAGATAAATTAAAACCTTGTGATTATCATTAAGAACTTCACTACGTTTTTCGTAGTCAATCGTACCTTCTATACGTCTAACCATGTTTATTAATTTGGATTATGCGAATAGTTTTTTTGACAGCTCTTAAATAAATCTATATTGATAAAAGGTTTCTTATATCTAAGGTCTTATACAAACCCTGAGTAGTGCTTGCGCGTGCTGATGAAAGTACTATAAGAGCAATTATAATTGATTGTGCGACTATGAAGAAGAAACACACAATCTATACGTGAGATAATGTGCTTGCCGGCTCGAATCGACAAGGTGTATGTGTGTGTTTGTTGGCTATAGACCGTGTTTTAAAAAAGGAGACGGAAGCTTGCGCTCAGACAAAGCGATTGTTTCTCCTTTCTTTCTCTATTTCGATATCCGTTGATCGTTGAAAAAACGTTGACTCTCATTTTTTTTTTTGTTAGTCTTTTCTTTCTCTCTTTTTCTAACAAGAACACAAAAATGCTCGTAGCGAGAACGTTCAACATCGCGTGCAACTAACATCTCATTCTGTACTTCGTTCTTAGAAAAGCAAAGAAAGAAGTCTATATTATTAATGAAAGTTAAAAACAAGTAAAAAAAGGAAACCCAATACTAAAAGAAAAGAAAAAGGAATAGGTTCTTCTTTTTGTTTAACTTTTCCGATCGATAATGGATTTGTCATCAGTGTCTGTCGATCCATCACTTGGAGAAAAATAAATCAATGAATATAAAGTATGACATACAATAGAAATGAACTCTTGACAAATACACTAGAAGAAAATTGGTAATTTGAACTCTCAAAAAATTGGAAAGTTTTATAGAAATGACGTACTTATTCCATTGACTGTTCTTCCTATTTGTTATACGTATGCGTGTTGTATAATAGTTAATTTTAAATTAATTAGATTCGTTTATTTTTTTTTTGTTTTTACCTAACGTTATTTTTTTTTTATTGTCTAATCAAATTCGATGAGGTGTATAATCAATGGAGAATTAGAATTAAATTTATAACGATAGAACAAATATGTCGATCAAGGAAAGAAAAAGAAATATTATGAATATGAAAAAATTAAGATGGAATATTTATGTTACTTTAGATAATACAAAAAACGGACCTATGGATGAAATATTAGTGTTGTTGTATTGAATAATTTTAAAGAGAAATAATTATTATTTTTATCCGACATTTTTACTATTTTAAGCTATCATTATTAATGCAACGAAATGATAATAATATATCTTAATAAGTAATTATTACTTTTCACTATAATTTTAAAATCTTTGTTTCTTTTTCAACTCAATATTTGAATTTCACAGGAAGAGAAACAGAAAATTTTAATAGATCTGTAAACTTCTATTATAGGGTATTTTATATAATGAATAATACTCTTTTATTTTCCATTTAAATATTTATTGTATACTATGAAAGAATATTGCAAACGGGTTTCAATAGATTCTGAAATGATGGTGATTAACATATTTTCAAATTAATCACAAATATGAATCATCCTCTTTGAAGAAAAATTTATTAGGAATTTTTATTAAGAATTCATCATCAATTTTAAAATGAAAAATAACTCTATCTATTAGTTGAATGTTCATTTACAAAAAAATCGAGGACATTAAAAAAAAAATTTCAGTATAACGACGAATGAATACAGGAAGCTAATTGTCGTAAGAAAACGTTGCCAAGAGAAAAGCATTGATTCTCCTATTTTCTTTGTTTGTTTATATCCCTTTCTAATAAATAATTGTTAGAATTTAATACGTCAAATATTGCTTATTATTTCTTTAAATTTTACTTGAAATGTTGGACTTGATAAATCTCTTGTAAAATTTATCACAGGAATGTTCGAAAACTAAATATGGAAATGTGAATATTTGTAACTAATAGTAGAGTTGTATTACTATGTTTATGACGTGTTTTTTTTTTTGAAGTAGAAAAGTCTGACTGCTATAGTGGATCGCATTAATGAAAAAAGTAACCTAACAAAGACGGTTATTGTAAACATAGAAAATGATCTGAACACTCTTCCTTGATATCACTGAATAAAATCTCGTTAACTTGGATTTTGCTGACAATCATACACATCATGGCAACAAACTCCTTGTATCATCGTTATATGATAAGGAAAAGATGCTCGCTAGTTTTATGAAGTATTAAAAACGTTCTTATTAAATAATATAGTTGAAAAAGTAAACTTTTGTCTTTCAATAAAAGTTAGATAAAAGAATAAGTGGATGTCAATGTAACTTTTATGTCAGAAGAAACAATCAATTTGTGATTGATTGCATCTTTGATAGGAATGCTTGACAATTGTTTTTTTTTTCAGAATACTATATGCACCACTCTTCCAGGTGTACATAGTTTAATACTTTGAAAAATATGTGTTCTATGTATAATCATAGTAGGAATCCATCATAATCGATATATATATATTTTTTTGCTTCTCGCTACGAGTTTCTCTTTGTAAAATATTGTAAATGATGATGGATAGAAGTTAATGGGTTGAGTCCACCTGTCACAGTACATCCACGATAAGATAACATTTTCAAGTAATTTTTCTATATTCTGGAACATCATTCAAGTACCGTCATCAGAAACAGTTGTATCAAGGTGATTTGACGGAAGCACTTTTTGGCTAATTTTGAGTATTGTTTCATTTTGTTATATACGTGAACAATACCATTGTAATCAGTGACGAATGACTTATGGATTCACGCAATAACTATACCATGACATCGTGAATTTTAATTCCTGTACCCCCCTCCTATGGGTTTTTTGGAAGACTTTTTTCAAAATTCATCTGCAAGAAACATCCAATCATATCAAGTTGGCTATATTGATAAGGAAAAACTGAGTTTTGAGTGTCTCCCTACCTTAGAAATCTCTTCAAATCTGCCAAAGTAACACTGCAATGCATAAAATAAAATGCTTCATTCGAATATGTAGAAAAAGCATGTTAAATCGGAAGAATTCGACTAAATATTGAGGTTCATAATCCTAACAGGATTCCAGCTTGACTTTTTGGGGCTCCAAAAAACATCCTGAACAACTTGAAAACTCAAGTGATTCAGATCAGATTTTTAGTAGCAACATCTCATGAATTAGCATTTGTTTTTCAAAAATTGACATAATGAAGCTTTTTAACGTGATAGTTCCTTTTCAAATTTCTTTCATTTGGAATCAACTTCAGAAATATCCGAGAACAGATACAAACACAAACAGGTTTCAGAGTATGCTGATCACAATCGTGTTGTCAGAACGCTCAAAACCCTAAAGAATTGCATATCTGATTCTCTAAAGGGTTTCTGCAAATCTGTAGTCTGCATTTTTTTCAAGTTTTTTTCTTCCCTTCTGAAAGATTTTAGAAAGCTGTATGTACTAGTTTGTCTGAATTTCTTGAATGTTCAATGTTATTTAGGATTCTTTTTTGGAGTCCTAAAAGTCAAGTCGGAAGCTCGTATGGGTTGTGAAACTCATTTTTCAATCGAATCCTTTCGATTGAACATGCTTTTTGCGATTTTCCTAATCAGCACGGTCAACTTGATATGACTAGACTGTGTCGTGCAAATAGATTTTGAAAAAAGGTTTTCAGAACCCTGTAGGGGAATGCAGGGATCAAAATTTTCGATATCATGTCAAGGTGAATAACTATGCTAGGATTGTAGGCTGTATCAAACTTGTTATCCTCGTCTAGTTATTTTTTGAAAATATTTTGGTCAGAAAAGTGGCTGTAACGCCACTCGTCCTTGCACAAAACTCGATGTGTTTCTTACAGATTAATTATGTCTTTATCCTGTCGTTGTGGAGGCAACAGATAAAGATTGTGTATTTACATCTTCATCTATTAAAGAAATAGAAATATTTCATTCTGATATTGTTTCATTCATGTGGTAGTAAATGGTATTTGATGTTGATTCAAAGTATTATCGATGTACAACGGTGAATAAATAAATTTCATTTAAAAATAGGGGTAATCCTTTCTATTTTATGCAACTTTCATTTCGTATTTGTATTGTGTTATCGTCAATCAAGATTAGACTTCATCTAATTTTCATTCACAATCCTATTGTGAAGTACAAGCTACAGTCCGAAAAAAAATATCATTGACAACATTCGAATACTGTATCCGTTGTTATTGACTTTTGTTACCTTTCTCTGAAAAATTATATTCAGATTGTTTTTGTTTCTTTCTCTCTAATTGACGTCAGAATGTTATTTTATACATTCACAACAACCAAAGGAATAAAGGATTAATTGCAACTTCTTTCAATTATTTTTGATACAAATTGAGCAAAGAAAGTAGAAAAAACTATTGAGAAATCGAGGTAAATTTCTGAAAGATGCTGAGAAAAATTAATTCTAAGTTAAATGCAGAAACGACATCATAATTAAAAACAAAAAAATATTAGTACATATATTTTGACAAAATTCTTGATTAAATGCATAATAAACAAGGTTAATGTATATTGATGTCATTGTTTATATAACGAGTATTTCAGTTTCTAAGCATAATGAATTCTTTTGACAGTAGTTTATACGAAGTCGCCTTGACATTAAACATGCATTCTATAGAATATTGAAATCATAGGCTCATTGTTATAAAAAAGAAACAGAATTTCAAACTTAAGTTTGTTAGAAAATTGGTTAATTTTCATTGAGAGTATGTGAGAATAGAAAGATCAATCGTGAATAAATTAGAGATGAATGTGCTGACCATATTATACTGTTTATCAGTCACATGGACATTTGGAATAATTTGATTTTGAACTGTTGTTATTTTTAGCTTACTAGGGAACCTTCCAAGGTGCGGGAGCACTTTTCAATCGGGGTTTCGTGCATCTTGTAGCCCGTAGTGAGTTATGCTTACGGTAAAAAAAGTTCGGGTTTCTGGCTTGTTTCTGAGGAGATATCGAGCTCTTAGTGAATTTTCTNGTTGTGAAGATCGAAATTGTAGAAGTAAGAAAAAAATAGTTAAGTATAACGTCTGGATTACCTTTCATGTATTTTTATAGGTCGTTGTCATACGAATACTCTGATGGAAGTGTTTGTCAAAGAACCATCGGAGCATAGTCATGCACCTAATCCAGATCGTGTTCATGTTATTCGATTGAAACATGAAATTAAAGCCCGTGGTTCATCATCGGATGAAGCGATCAGCATTATATTATTTGATGCATTACGTAGTATTCCATTGAATGCAGTTCCTGGCTTACCAACGAACAATGCATTAATGCAAACAATTCGTCGTCATACATATAATTAAGATAAAAATAAACACTTAGCTTTTCGAACGAGATGTAACAGGACGAAATGTAATAGGACAAGCGATAATTAGGACGAATTGTAAAGAGACAAAATGAAATCGGACAAAGATCATTTAGGACGAATTAAAAAAGGACGAATAGTAAGGGACAAAAAAAAAGGACGAAATGTATGGTTACCAATGGTTTTATCAACTAATGCTACGTTGTGAGTGGTCGCTGTTTCTATTCTGAATAAGTTTTTGTTGAAAGACACATTGTTTTCATATTACAAATCTCAGAGCATTTCAAGATATTGTTGTAACTGCAGCGATATGCAAATCAGAATTTTACGATACATATTTTTGTAAGACTTCATTTAATCAAAACGTTAGCACGAAATAGCAATTTTATATGCAGATATTACTATCATTTGAAGATGAGCACATTTTGAAAGTCAATTATAACATTATTGCGGTAGAGGCGATTCGGTACTTTTGATATTCTCAATCTTTTTCCAGGCAAGGTAGAATAGTATATTATTGCTTTAAACACTTCAGTCGAGGGTTAAGCGAATCGCATAGCGACGAGCGCTACTTGTATTTAATTAAGTCAATATATTTCTTGATTAGTTCTAGTAAAATTTTGATGGCATTATAATTAATTATCTCAAATATTGATTTAAAATTAGGATCAATTGATAATCAAGTACAATTATTAGAATTTGATTGTCTTCTTATGTTATTTATACGTTGATTAAAAAATAAAATTTAAGATTTTTTTCGTTGGTTTGAAATGATTTCGAAATTGTTGGTAATATACGACGATTCCATCATCAGTTACTGATACTGTGATGTCTACTTTAATGAAATATCAAGAATGTTTAAAATCATCGAAAAGTTCTGCTGATATTAAATACATTATTGATTGTTCAACAATAATGAAAAATAGTTGAGTTTAGTAGCAATGAAAAATAGCACTGCAAGGAATTAAGGAAAAAATTTCGACTTCTCTCGAACATTTCAAAGCCTTTCTCGAAATTTGAATCGTTAGAATACGTTCATTAATGTTTTCAATAGAGCAATTTTTGATTTTTGCGCAGATGAAAATTATCTTGAAGATGCGAAAGATGATAATTAATGATGCACTCATTTGTCACGGTCTCTATATGATCATTATAAACAGAATGAATTGATCAAGTTGTTGATTTGAAAAACAACTTAATATCAGTGTTTATGAGTTGATCGACATATATCATAGTCCGTTGATATTTGCTTTAGATATGATGTATACGTATAACAGGCTGATATGCCAGTTTAATCAATGGGTATAATGATAATTCAGTTGAATTAAGAAAAAAGGAATAGGAAACAAGTAAGAAAAATAAAAAAATGAGCGAATAGCAACAATCTAAACAAAAATAGAGCGCCAGTAAAATGAGAAAATTCTGTCCGAGACGCGAAAGTAAATAAGGTAGATTTCTTTTTTGCCAACCGATTATCTTATAAAACAACTGAAATGTGTAATAGATTTTTCACTATACGCATTTTTTACTAGATTAAAAAAGCTAAAGGCTATATGTGAGTTCCATATTTTAGCCCCAAAGGGGCTGCACTGACAAGCTTTTTGTTAACAAAATAAAAATAAAAGTAAAAATAAAAAAGATTAGAGAAAATAATAAACTTCATGGGTTTTTTTAAGCTTTTGCTGCTCCTAATTAATTTAGCAACTTATATTGTTGATTACATGTATTTCCTAAAAATAAATATAGTTTTTTTTGAAAAGAAATTATAAAATACAATTACAGAATAAAGATTAAGTTTAAGTTTCTTAGGTTCTTTTTCTATATATTACTTTTCGACATACAACAGGTCCATTAGGGTGATAATATTTACGTAAAAATATCCATAATAATTCATGTATAATTTCAAAATGAATTTCATAACGAAGATCGAGTTGAAGTTGAACACCATCATTTGAAATAACTTTTTCTATTAATGAATAATTATCAATATCATTAGATTGACATCTAAAAAAATACAAAGAAAAATTTCACTTAACCTATTATAAGTTTTATTAGATTTAATAAATGAATTTTTTGTTAAATTTCCATATGCTATCGATGAAGAACATGTTGCTTTTCATCTAAACCATTATTCTATTGAAATAAGAAATCATCCTGAATCAGATTCTGATGTTGAACTATTATAACTCATTCCTAATTCAACAAATGCATATTTTTCACGTTGAAGAAAATGTCTTTAAAATAAAAGATTTAATTAATAAATTTATTATTTTATTTTTAATAACATCTATATATATAATGTTCAGTGTCTGTGTCTGTACCGGGTCAAACGTCAGAGGTCAAAGGTCAGAAAAGGCTACAAGCGGTAAGGCTATAAGGGGGAAGACTATAAGGGAGGAACGAATTAAGGGGGTAAGGCTACAAGGGTAAGGCTACAAGAAATATAAGAGTATAAGGCTACATGGGCTATTAGCGATATAAAGATATCACGCCGTAGGGCTTCTATGTACATAATGTCGAGTGTCTGTGTGTCTGTTATGGAGTGAAAGATTAAAGATTTGAGGTCGTACGTTAAAGAAAAAAAACTGCCATGCAGTATGCGCAGGTTCTCGCTAATACTTTATAATTGTCTTCATTTTGTTGTGATGATGATGATATTAATCCAAGTACAATATGACAAATTTAAAAAATAATATTGAGTAATTCGATTATTAATCCATCTTTTTGATATTATATTAAAAATCCTTCTGATTTCAATGTTGATTCATTTTTCTGTAAAATCATATCAAAATATACTTCAGGTGAAATCTTTATATAAATATTAGAGACATAAATAAATTGAACAATTTCAATAGGACATGAAATTAAGTAAATAATATCAGAACAATTAAGTACACGATCATAACCACGATCAAAGATATAAAAGAGAACTATTTTAAATAAAGTTATTAATTTCATTTACATATTCATTTAATGAATTTTTAACCAGAAGGAATGTTCTTCAAATAACAAACAATATATCCCATTATAACTTCAAACAGAAGGTATGATAATTCATTTTTTGAGTAATCAAAGCAAGATGAATTTCCTTATCCTCACAAACGTTTTTTTGATTTAGTTTATTGTGCCATTTTAGGTTCAGTCTTACAAGAGAGAAGTAAAAATAGATTTAAATAAGTATTCTATCAACAAATCGATTCAGTTACATGAATAGGTGTAGATAAAGAAGAAGAGAAAGAGAAGAGAGAGAAAAAAGAGAAAAAATATATAGCGATAACAGAAAATATATAGTAATGTTAGACGCTTATCCTCACAAACTGATTGACAACATTATGACATGCAGATTTACATACATAAATTTATTGTTAATCTTCTCTTACAACTTAATAATATTCAGCATTAGAGATAACAGTAGCGAAATTCACGAGTTATTCAAACGAAAGAAAAATAAATATATGAAGAAAAGAGAAAGGCAAGTAGAAAAAATTTGTGAAAAGAAAAATTATTTTCGAATGTTTCTACCACATTTGACGTTAGTACAACTTAAGTTGTTGTTATTGATAGGATTTAAAGCTTTACATCCTTTGTAATTACAAATCTAAAATTATACAAGACATAAAACTAGCTAGCAATACTTGTATTTCAAGAATATGAACTACCTTAAATGTTATTCCATCTTTTATAACCACAGATGATTGTGATGACGCACTTGTTTCTTCTCCCATATTTAAGATCACATGAGATGAACGTTCTTGACTTGGATTTTTAGGAATACGAAAATGATTGTACGGTAGATTTTTATTCAAGGATGGATTGCTAGAAATAGATGGATTGTTGATAATAGAAGGACTGACTGTTGTTGCTGGACCATTGACTGTTGTTGTTGGACCACTGACTGTTGTTGCTGGACCATTGACTGTTGTTGTTGGACCACTGACTGTTGTTACTGGACCATTGACTGTTGTTGTTGGACCACTGACATTGATTGATGGTCCATTGATATTGATTGCAGGTGGCTGAACCTACAAAAGAAAAACATAACGAATGAAAATTTTTTCATCCAATTTCTAATGAAATTGAACCTTTAACGTAATTCGCTTGAAAAATATGTAAACTCAAAATTATTCAGTTCTTTTCATATTTAAAAAATCTGAGAAGAACCAAAAGCACTTATTCGATTTTCAGTGCAAGTAGATTGTGGACCACTATTTTCATTTTGTGTCAACCAAATAAAATTGTATCGTTCAACGAATTATGGGAATATTAGAGGCTAATTTGCTTCGTCCGGGTATATGATCTGTGCGACATGAGTGCATAATCGGATGATGCGTAGCAAGATATTAAAAATGACTCATCCTGTATTCTCTCAAGAGTGCAATGTTTTTGATTTCCGATTTCAATAAAGATGAAGATCTGCATGGATATGGAGAGATTGGAAATGCCATGTATTATCTTCTCACAAAAAAGGTTTTTGAATAATTTTATACTATAGTGAAATTTTTGCACGGCTTAATAGCAATTAAATTGTTCATGTCATTACTAGCGACACTCTCAGGTAGTCCTTCAGAACAGTCTCTCACTTAGACCGACACTCAGTCGACCTTATCAATATTCCAAAAATGAACCATTGATTTTGAGAACCAAAAAACCGACATATGACAATTAAATTCGCTACATAAGTAATGGGCATAAAAAAGGGCTCTTAAGCACCAAATTAATAAAAGCAAATAAGAATAATAAGAAAACTAACTTATCAATTATGTCTTTTTATGAACAAGCTATGAAAATGTGATTGATATATCGACTCAAATGATGGATTTGTCCTAATAAAATCCATTAATTATTCTCACCCTTTACTCTCTTATAATGAGTAGTCAGGAAACAATATATTTTACTTTATTTTCTAGTTCCTTCAATGTGATAATGTGGAAAAACTTCACTACTATTTCATCTGATAGCGCATTCATGGACATCAAAATGATGCATGCCTATTTTAATAAAACAGAATTTTACCAAAAACTCTAATTCGTTTGCTACCTACTTCTATTGAATATCTACTGTATGAACCTCACCCTCATCCTCAATTCTTTTCCTCTCAAATAATCTCACCAAATTAATTGAATTTGTTCCAGCTGATAATTCAGTCGCAATTGAACGAATATTTAGTTCACATCTTGTACAAATAGATTTTTTAAATACAGTTGAAGAACAATACTTGCAAGTTTGACTCATTATTATTTCTGATAATAATGATGATAGATTGTGTGAATTGATAAACTAAAAAAAAAAGAAATTTCATAAGGTAAATTAAATTCTAAAAAATTATTCTAGAAAAGGTCGAAACGAATAAACAATTGAGATAGTAAAATTATCGATGTCAGTGACAACGATAATGTTTTCGTTGGCGTCATTTTCTATCGGACTAAATGTAAACGATAAGAAAAGAGCGCACTGATTATCTGACTGAATTTGATATAACTGTCTATTTGTGAATATTTTTCTCGAACATGCAAAAGGCACGCGGAAAGAACAGAAAAAAAGAAAAAAAAACGATGTATACTGTTGAAAACATGAAATAATCATCATTATCAGACACAATAATGTGACTTTAACAAAAGTGAATGGAGAAATGTATGAATAATATTGACTAGATCGAATAAGTAGAAACAAGACTTGTGCACATTTACGACTAAAAATTCGATGATATTCACGATTTATTAAACTCTTGCTTCCTTCCTTCCTTCTATTATCTAAAAAGAAAACAATTGGCATTCATCTCACAGTATTTTCGGCTATCTTTTATTTGTAGATTTTGTTTATCCATTATTATTTCTATCTTTATACACTTATGTTTCTGTTAATCCACATTTTATGTTATAGTTTTAAAGAGACAAAAAAATAGAAAATATTATCCATATCTTTCATTAGTACAATTCATGTTAGTATATCTTAATCAATGACTAAAAAATATATTCAGATAGTATACTGATCGTATTCTTTTATAAATCAGACTTTAACAATGACCGTCTTTGTTTAAATAAGATGAGAAAAAAATTAGTTTTAATATTGAGAAATGAACAATTACTCATCCATGACATGCATTTCAATCGCAGCACAAGCTAATCATGGAAAATATTAGAGTATTTCACCGAGCGAAAAAACTTGAAAAACGTGATCTTGTTTACAACAAGTTGAAGAAAACAAAAGAAAACTGATATAGCTATTGTCAACAAACTATTCAAAATATAATCTAGTAAATGAGACAAATGTAGAAACTTTTATTGCAAAATTTTTTATCAATATGGGGATTTTCGATCTTATACGATCATTTTCAACCAGTTAACAAGACTGTAGATGTTACAAACAAAAAACAAAAACAAAAAATAGACAGAGAAAGAAACATCATAAGCAATAACATCATAAACATAGACTTCAAAAACTCATATTAATGAATCAAATTATCATTAAGATAATTCAAAGTAATAATAATTCAAAGGGATAACATTATGAAATTAATAACATAAATGAAATTTGTAACATGATATTCATTGAGTAATTATAAATCACTATGAGTTTATTCCAAATACCTATCTACTTTATTGTATTTGTAATATCTATTGTTCTGGTATTTGGTTTGAAAATGATCGTATAAGATCGAAAATTTCCATATTGATATAAAATTTTGCATTAAAAGTTTCTATATTTGTCTCATTTATTATATTATTGTTAACTAATCTCAAACGAACGAAATGCTAGATCATATTTCGATCGGTTCATATACTGATTCAAACTCGATTGAAAAAATTCGTTCACTATAATCAAATGGACTACTCCAATATGCAATACGTGTAAAAAAAATTACAAACAGATTAGTCGATTATATCTTTTATAAACGAACCTTTGAGTTCCAACACATTTGTCATAGATTTGAAATGGACTGAAAATGGTCAGTATTCATCGGATAAAAATTCCGACTATTACCATGAGAAATGTTGACGAAATGTGATTTATTCTTCTGACGAACGAAGTTCACCGAGCATTGGAACTATTCCTCTTCGAACATAAACAAAACGATCAATGCAACAGCTTATCATATAATGAAAAAATACTTTCAAAAACCAATCAACCGTTACATCATTACATGGCCGTTTTTCTTATGTTCTGTCGTTCAATTCTAATATATACAACGACTAACCCATAGTCTCAAACAATCGTTAAACAAATATATAATGTAATTCTAAATACACAACAATAAATGAATGCAATTTACTCAAACAAATCACATGATACATGTTTCCTTGCGGACACATATTCTACTATAAATAAACCAATCAATATCTATACACAACGCTTATCTCTATCCAGTATTAGAGATCCCACCATCTCTGAAGTTACACTATTTATAAAACTATACATCAATCCATAAAACTAATCGACATTCATCGAATGATGCGTGTTCCATGATTGGCACACATTGTACGATGAATATGTTATTGAAATAGTGTATAGGTGACACTAGCCGAAAGGGTTTTAAAGAATCCAGGACCAGTAAAATGTTAATATTCACACAAATTTCACATCAATTGATAGAATCAATTCAGATTCATTGAAAAATGGGGACTTTATTAATGTGATACGATATTTTTCTTTTTGCTGATTGATGGACATATTCTGTTGTCTCATATACACGTATCTATGGTTTTGAAGAACTTTGAGTCGGGAGTTTTTACTCAGTGGGGATGAAATACATATCATTCGATACACCTCTTCAACATGAATCGAATAGAATCAGTTTCGCATGTGGCGCAGGTTATTGAACGAATAATCACAGGTATTATATCATAAAATGGTGTTTTTTTTACGTTTCCGCAACTTGAGGCGTCTCACAAGTTGGTTTGATTAGGACTTAATTGATACCATCAGATGCAGGACGTCGAGATGCATCGAATGATGTAAATTTGAAAAGTGGCACGGTTCGCGTCTCGAATTGTTTTAGGGAATTTTGGATTTTATTATTATTCTCTGTGGTACAAAATTATAGTTTTATTTGTATTTCGTTGTTTTTGCTCTTAGCTAAACTTCTAAATTTACTATATGATAGAGATTGCCGAGCTCTATCTGGCATACGACAAGTCATACGTGATACAGTTGAGTAGGTGAATCGATCTAAAAAAACTCGAAACAGGTGCTAACTTCCCGGACATCTATTTTCTTTATTCAGGAATGCCGTGTCATTTGACTAAACAATTTACAGGCTTAATCTATTCATTCATATTTGTACAACCAACCCGTTTTGAATGACATTTTGTGGATTGTGACACATAAATTGATATTTAGAATGAATATTGACACAATTGCTAGGATTACAGTTTTCTCTCTTTTTTTTCATTCAGCTCTACTTTTGGTAAAGCAAATTATTGTTTGAATCTATCTATAGTCAATTTCCAATTTTGCATACAACGTATATACAGTCCTGGACAATAGTAGCTGTCCTCCTCCATGAAGTGCTACTATTCTTGGAGATATTCAGCTGAAATTTGGGTGCATATATGCAATTATTTACCTGCGCTGATTTTATGATTGGCACATCTTCTTTCCCTTGTGAAAACATATCTAGTGGAAATGTGTGCTGAAACAGTTTTCGTTTGCCATATTACTATTTCACAAGCTACTATTGATTTTTCTTACGCTATAGACAGTCTTACATGCCCATTATACATAGTCAAAATCTTACTAATTAGCACACTCTGAGATAGTGAACCTATGTTGTCACACTAACTCGACTTCATTCCGTTCTACGACTGTAAGACTTTCAGAACAGATTCATCATTTCATCAGAACCTTCTACTAAAGTTTTCAAATGAGATCGGTCAAAGTTATCGTCAAAAGCATCCATCTTACAACAAGTCAACACTTACTCTTCAATAGATCTTCTTCATAGAAAGACAATATCTCAATTAATTTAAAGTGATTTCTGATGAAATTCAAACTAGAGACATCGACGACATGGGGGTTTCGAATGCGAGGTTGAAGGAAAATATTTATGCCAACACGATCGCGATAACATGATCACAAGATACAGAAAATATGTGAATGATAACTTCAGTACATGTAAACTTACAGAAGATGAGTTAGTGCTTTCGATCAGGGTCTATTATTTCGTGCCTGCACACAAAATATCAATTTAATATCATAAAAAATAGTAGTTTTTTGTGTATCACTTGTCTTATTATATTTATTCAACAGTTATAATATAAAATAGTCTATGGTTTTAAGAAAAACAAAAAGTATCAAACTAATGATCAAAATCGACACAATAAAAAAAGAATTTATTCTTATTAATTTTGTTTGTGTTCTTTTATTTACAAGATTAACTACTAAGTAGCAAAAATATCAAATAGAGATCGTATTTGATTAACATGTAATTCTGTTAAAATTATTGTCAATAATAAAGCACACCAATGTATCGTACTAGTTTTTTGTATAAATTCCTAAGAGGAAAAGAAACCAACGATAAAACTCGTAAAAACTGCATATTTTATAATAATAAACATACCCAAGTTCGATCAATAAAAATTGCAAATAAAAGATAATCTTGAATACTAAGTGCACATAAATATCTCCATAAATAAAATATCAATATAGTTAATGGTGAATGTAGAATACTTGATTGTAAAGCCTAGAGAACAAGAAAAATTTTATTAAATAAATTAAGAAAAAAAAACTAATTCAAACTTTTTGTTTTAGTAAATGCACTGGTGAATCAAGTAAGTCTTCATAAGCATGTACATTTCTATCCCAAAACATAGCAGATAATGAATAACGTAATGCAAATAATGCTAATGTTATAAATATAGTTTGTTTTGTTTCAAGTGTATTAGAATTTGTATCATTTTTTTTTGATAATGATGAATGAATATTCGAAAATGATTGACCATCATCGATATTTAATATAATTAAATCAATTTCGTCACTTCCTCCATCACTTGCTGATGAACTTAAACATCGATTTGAACGTGTTGGAATTGATAATTTTCTACGAAATGGTCGTTGTTTATAAAAATAAAATAAACAACCTATCATAAGACATGTACCACCTAATATATCACTAATAGCATCAACATAATAACCAAAATATCCATAGTATGATTTAAAACGTTTATTATTTGTTTGTGCACGATAAATAACACCATCGAGACAATCAAGAAATGTACGAACCTGAAATATAATAACACCTAGTTGACGTCGACATAATGATTCACTTGACAGAAATTTTATTGACACTAATGATAAAAAACAATGAAACAATGATATGAAATTTGCTGATAAAAATGGAAAATAATATGTAAAATGTAATTTCGTTTGTATACTTTCAGCTAATGGTGAACGAATATAATGAATCTAAAAAATGAAAAAATAAAAAGGCTGATACTTATTAATTTTTCTGAAATACTTACAATTGGTTGGACCATAATTTTTTTTATTGGTAATGGATCAAATATATGTATTGTATGAGTTAATTTTTGATTATTTGTTTGATTTAATATTTTATTTGATAAAGTAAAATCTAATGATCCTCTTGAACATATTTTAAAATAAAGTATAATATCCATTATTTGTAAATATATTATAAATAATAGAAATAATGTATAACCCGGATAAGACATAAGACGATGAAATACACGAACACAAAAATGTCCATGTTGATAAACACATCGTACTGAACCTGAGCCATTACTTAATTTACGTACGTCAATAGCCATTTGGAATTTATATTAAAAAAATTATCATCATTCAACCAGTTTTGTAATTTTATCTTATATCAATAATAAGACGAGAATATAATAAATATTAGATTATTTATTATATTTATATAATAATAGTACACATTTTTCTATCTAAGTAAGAAAAGTCGTAGAACAGAATAGAACTATTTCGACATCAGGCCATGATCAGCTGTTCTTGCCATGTTGATAAGCACTTCTCTATATAGCGTTGTTATTCTTCTCTTCTTTTGACTCACAAAATATAGACATATATATGAGAAGAGAAAGAATAAGAAGAGGACAATGAAACACATAGTCAAAAACGAAGAGAAATTAACGTACAACTGAGTTGAACAATGCATATACGTGCATAGATATCGAGTAACTCTCGATAATATCCTTTATCTGCATTTATTCATGTACATTTTTCATCATGCTGTTTAACATACTCAAGCTAAAAATCTCTGCTTTTCGACTTAATATTTATCTACTTGTTTTTAAAACAATATAGAATCGAAAATTTTCTTATCATTAAATTCTAAAAAAAGTAGAGAGCTTGGACAACAAAAAAAAAGGAAACAACTATTTTTCTACTCTATTCATTGATGAATAAACTAATTATTAAGATACATATACCCACATGTTTGTTAAGAAAAAGGCTGCCAAGCAAATTGCCATCAACAGGCAGTTATATTTATTACTATGAGAAAACGTACATCGGTATGTGTACCATCATACAAGAACCCAATCAATATACATAAGTCCTTACTTTATTCAAGTATTATTATCAATGCTTAGAAGATGGCGTAATTGTCAAGCTATCAGTCACTATTGAAACAGAAAAAAAATAGAAATAGTTTATCTAGTATAAAAACAATTTACAACAGACATGCAAAACTCTCGTTTTGTTCTGCTTGTTTTTTATCTGATCTTGTATCATTACTGCGATAATAAAAGCAAAATAAATCATTTGATGATTCACATTTTAGACAACTGGTAAGTCTTAGAATATCAATCTTTCTTTTTTTGTTTTCTTTTTCTCTTTGGACAATGTCTGGTAGAACAAGAATTTAGAACTGTAATCATCAATGTTATTATCTTGACTATTGTGAAATAATAAAGAAAAACAAAGGTCATTGCATACAAATGAAGGGCATATGTTAGTTGTTTTCTCCTGTTTTTAAATTCAAATGAAAAAAAAAAAAGATCAAGCAAGAAAAAAAAACTGGTAAATAGTTGTTGTATTCATTGATCAACTTGTATCCATTGTAGTATCCGAAGATTTTTTTTCATCACTTTCTTCATTTGTTTTTTTATAATGTTTTTCCATTGCCTGAGCGAATGCTTGTAAATCACCTTGATTTGCAGCTGTTATTGCTTCTTCTGGTAAACCAAATTGTGCTAAAACTGGACCTAATTGTCCTGTTTGTAAAGCAACACTAAATGACACAAACAAAAAAGAAAGAAACATTTGAATTCTATATAAACTGATAAAAAAAGTTTATCAAACAAACCTAAATGTACCAACAGCTTGGCGAAATTGTGGCGATTGAATTGATTCTCTTAATTCTTTTTCTGAAACTGAGACTGTACTTCCGTCAGGTAAATGATTTCGTAATGTCTCTTGAACATCTTTATTACTTAATATTGGAATTAAATTCTAAGGCGAAAGAAAAAAAAGAAAATATTGAAATGTTTTCTTTTTTTTTTCTAAATAATTAAATTTACCTCAGCAGTCATTATATCATAAAGATCAATAGTCGGTTTAGCAGCGGCGGCTGCTGCACTATCAGTTCCTTGAGGTGTATTTTTATCGCTTAAATTAGCCAAAATATTTGTGAGTGCACTCATTTGTATAGGACCACCTTTTGGTCCACCAGTTGTTCCTGCACTAGTTCCACTTTTTGGAGCAGCTGTTGATGGTGATGAACTCGTTCCAGCATTGCGTGGTTTCAATGATGATGAACCACTAGGACGACTACTCGATGCTGATGTTGATGTTGTTCCTCCAGTAGCTGTGGCTGTCGCTGTTCCTGTACTGCGAGTTGCAGCTGGTGCTGTATTTGGACGAGAATCTGGTGTTTGTTGACCAAATGCATCTAGAAGAGATGTTGCTTGTTGAGTTGATGTACCAGGCAATACTCTACCACGATGACTACCTTGCATTAAACCAGGAGCACCACCACCACTTCCAACTGAAGATAATAATGATGCTAATTCATTCGGATTCATTCCTATATGTAAAAGAAATTTGTTTTTATTTTTATTTATTTTCATAACGAAAAAGTCTTATTTTCACCACGTAAAACATTTGATAAATCATTCGGATCAATACCACCAGCTCCACCACTACCTGCCATACGATCCATTAATGATTGTAATGGATGAGCACCACCGCCTAATCCGCCAGCTCCACTACTATCATCGCCAAAACCTGGTGTTGGTGGATGATTAAGCTATGAGGAACAAAAAAAAAAAATTTTTACAATTAATTTGAAAAATTTTATTTTACAAGATCGTTAATTTTTTTACACCATTCTTCATCTTTATCGTCTTTTGATTCTTGCATCCAAAAGAATAATTTACGAGCATTACTTCTCCATTTAAGAATATAAACACGTCCTGAAAGAAAAAAATAAATTTCAATTCGTTAATTTTATTATTTCTACCTGTTGTATTTCGTGTAACCTTTTTAAATTCAATTTCATCTGGAAATATAACAAGATCATCTTCTGGTGTGTTACTTGATCGTTCCTTCCAACAAAAATGCATTAACATATCATTGCCTTGATATAAATAAACAAGACCTTTACGTTTATCTGGATGAACCTAAAATAAAAGAAAATCAATTAATAAGAAACAAAAAGTTGAATACGATAATTTATATATAACAGACCATTGTTCCACGTAAAATCATTTTTCCTGCTTTAAATTCAACTAAATTTCGACTACGTGCTTGCGATGTAACTCCACCGAATAACGACATTTTTTTAAATCGAATTTATAAATCGTGTAAATCTGAAAAGCGAAAATCGAAAGTAAATCTCGCAACTCGATTATTTTACGAACAAACACAAATGGACAAACAGATAGAAGTATTTATTTATTCATAATGATTCAGTATTATATGAACCAATTATAATTCTATCAATAGAGGTCTCATTATATCAGTACAACATTTGAGTCTGTACAGACCAGAAAAAAAAACTAGGAACTCATTGGTAGATGTAGGATTTGGAGAAAGAAGAAGAGTGATCATGGCCACAAAACGTGTTCAAGCTTTTCTTTTAGAATTTAGTCTCTTTTATTTTATTTAATCAAATATTATTTATCTTATTGATAAAAAAAAAATCGTTATCAAATATGTGAAAATGATTTATTTAATAAATTCCAAAGCTTCAACGATATTGTTTGGTGTTATCACATTTTTTTTTTGAATTAATTATATATTGACAATCAATTCTCATTTAAATATTATACTAATTACGGATCTAAACACCGAAAACAAATACTCTCGCCTAAATTCACCTTGAATAACACGTCACTTTATGTTTATACCGATCAATTTTTTGTGTACTCAAAAAGTGAGTACACTACTAAAATCGGTCAGTGTGTCCGTCCGTCCGGCCGTCCGTTTATCCGATAACTTTCGAAAGGAGAGTCGGATCGTGATGAAATTTTCTACACAGTTCAGTCTTAACAATGTCTCGGTCGAGTTCGAAGATGAGCAGGATCCGTCGAAAAATGGCTGAGTTATCGAAAAAATTGTCATTAGTGAGAAGACCATCCCTGAAGGGGGGTACAGGGATTTTTTCAAAAAAAAAATTTTTTTTTCAGAATTATTCACAACATATATAAATCGACTCAGTTTTTAACGCTGATTCTGAATCTGATATTAGTTTTGAACCGAATCATAGTTTTGTGTACTCAAAAAGTTCATAGACTATAGAATAGTCAGTGTGTCCAAACGTCCGATTGGCTGTTTGCATAATAACTTTTGACAGCAGAGTCAGATTGTGATGAAACTTTCTACAAAGCTTAGTCTTGACAATAGCTCGGTCGAGTTCGAAGATGAGAAAAATCGATCGAGCCGTTCCTGAGTTATTGCAGAAATACCCATTTTTCCCTATAGCTTTCTGTGGAAAAATGGACCCATCGCGACTTTTCCTATCATAGTCAATTAAAACCCCAACTATTTATACCATTCGATAGAAAATTTCAAGTACTACAAAATGATATATAAAACATAAAGAACTAAGAACGTTGACTAACCTATCACAAAGATAATTAAAGAGAACTAGGTTAGATTTTGATCCACAATCTAATTGATCCACAAATAGAGCTTTATCTTCCGATTACACTGATGATACTTCGAGGTTTTCAGGTATGGAGAACTCGAATGTGTACTGCACTTCCATCGGAATACTATTAGTTGTGCAGTGACCAATAGAAATGAAGTTATAGGAAAAACGACTTTCTTAGAGTAAATCAAGGTGCAGAGTTCAAACTTGAGCTTGGTTCGGTCCCATGCCCTATTGGTTTGGCAACGCGCAATATAAATCAAGATTTTAAATGGTAGATTTCACAGTATAATTTTGATATTCAGATAGTCTAGGATGATTGATTTGTATGATTCACTTTTTGAAGTACACATAACTCTCGGATTTAAATCCGAAGTTTCCGCATTTATTTTCCAATTGCAATCTCATGAATAGAAATGGCTATTGGATCAATATGAGGTTTGACAGTTTGAGAAATCGAACAAATATTTGGATCCTTTGTGGTGAATTAACTGAACTCTAGTTTTGTAAAATTTCATAAAGACAGGAAAAGAACTTTTTAAATTTTATTTTTTGTAAAAAACAAAGATATTAATATAAATCAATGAACTTAGACATTTGAAGTTCTATCTTAGAATACAAGTTCTCAATTCTCATTTTAAATCTCTTCCATTATAAGCCCAAAAAAATATCAATATATTTATCTGAAGTTATTGAAGTATAAACATATTTAATCTATTGATTCGAAAACAACAAAAAAATAAGAAACACGATCATTAATATTTGATTGGTTTGAACGAATGAACAGTTCGTCTCAAGTATTTTGATATATTATTCGATTTGAATTGTCTTTTCTTTATCTAATCCCAAATTTTTAACAATAATATCAAGTTTTTTAATTAACAAGTCTACTTGATCATTAAACTTTTGTTGTTGCTTGTTCAAATTGTCTTCCCATGTCGCCAGTTTTTCAACAATTGCGCTGCAGTTGCGCGTAACTGCGAAATTTCTATCGCAAGTTCGCGTAACTGCGGCGCAATTCAATCGCAGTCAAACACATGGGTTGTTGTTGTTTGACCAGTTGTGACATATCTTGATTAAAACGTGTTTGTTCTTCTTTCATTTTTAATAGAATATCGATTTTTCTTCCATTTGTACGTGCTTCAGGACAATGATGATTATTACGTTGTTCAACCTATAACAAAAAAAATACTAGTTCAATAAAAACAATAATATAATTAATATCTTGCTTAGGTGAAGTGAAGACAGATTATTCAACATTTCGATATCATCATCATCGTCCGTGGCCCACATACTATTATTATCATGTGTTTTATTAGCTAACTAATACATTAGATATTCTATATATTCATGTATTATTATTCTATCTTTGACAGAGGTCAAAGGAACAGCTGTATACATATATATATATGCTCTGTGTTCACGCTCTCCTGGTTTTCTCTGAATTGTCCGCTCTCTCGTTTTGCGTTCATACTCTTATCTCCTCGCTCTCTAGTACTCTTTCTCCTCCTCGTTTTCCTTTTTTCATGCTCTCACCATTTCACTTTGCATTCTGACGTGTGGATGCGTTTGTGAGTCTGATGGTGTGGGTGTAGGTATGATTGCTGGTTTTTGTCTTTTTCACAAATACACCCGCCCACACCCTTGCCTTCACCCACACCATTTTGCTGTAGATTTTGTGCGCTTTTTGACTAGATGAAAGTGCCTTCGAATAGTCACCCATCTTTTCATACAGCAAACCAATGTCGCTGTAACATCTAGCCACATCCAGATGTTGCGATGAAAGACTCTTTCGACGGATTCTCAGCGATTTTTCATAAAATGTGTGTGCCTCTGCATATTCGCCTTGGCGAAGCTTGATCAATCCAAGGTGGGAAAAGATAGCTTCTCTCTTTTCATCTTTCGTTCTTTGAGCAAGCAATATTCCATATAAGGGTGTGGGCGGGTGTGTTTGTGAAGAAGACAAAAACCAGCAACCATACCTACACCACCAGACTCACAAGCACATCCACACTCTCACTGACGTCAGCAAATGGTGTTGAGACGATGAATAGATAAATTTTCATGACGAATAAAATACCAACAAGATCGAACATTTCTACAGATTGACGCGCAACGGTGAGCAATCTTTCACGGTGCATACCTGTGAATAAAAAATTATTAAACGATAAAAGTCCACCTTTGATTTTAGCATTTGATGAAAGTCAGCCTGTGACAGTCCTAGATCTCGATAAACAGCAAATGAATTTGAAGTTGGTTGTCCAACAAACTGCTGAGGATGAAGTTCGGGGGGGGGGGGGGGGGGGGGGGGACAGAAAAAAAAAAAAAAACTCCGGTGGGGAGGAGCAGCGCCTCAAGTCCATGAGG